AACTGACATTTAATTGACATAATGAGAGTTTTTAATATTCTGAAAAAAACTGTGAATGTGCAAGAACAATCACTGTTTTTCTTAATCTTCATGGAGATGGCCCAGGGTTTCTATGGACAGCAAGGACTGCCATCATCCAGTATAATGCTATTATTAATAAGTGCTAAGGAAGAAAATCACACACATTAAGGCAAACTTTTTTTCCTGGCTTTGAGGCATGGGACATCTATGTAAAGGAGAATGAGAATTATTCTTATTAAATAATTATGAGTTTCCTTTGAGAACCTCAACACCTTGCACCTCAAAAGGCTTCGGAGCAAGGGTAGGCAGGAAAAAGAAGGTAGAATGACTCTTGAGAGTGAGGACTTGGGGTGCTTGATGGCTGAGCCCAAGGCAAAGGAGGAGAGCCATCCTGATGTGGTCAGATGGGGCTTTCTTGTCACATTCTTGGGAGGGGTCATGAGTTGCTGTTCAGAGGCAGGTCCCAGGGCCCTGCTCAGGACCATGAGTGCAGGCTTAGCCTAGGGCATCGAGGACTGGGCAGAGGCACAACAGGGGCCTGTGGGCTGGCGGGTGTCCTGGGAGGAGGCATTTGAGCAGAGGCTACAGAGGCTTCTGGGCAGCTCCTTCTCTCAGGCTGAGCACCATGGAGCAGGAAGAAGGTGGCAGAGACTGAGGGTCCCAGGCAGCAGGGAGTGATGAAGGATCTGTGGGAAACATGTGCACATTCGGTTATCTGCTTATCTTTATGACACATCTCCTGGGAGCTGTGATGTCCTGATGTGGTCGTCCTGGGATGCCTGTTGTGAGTGGCCCATCAGCCCCAAGACAGGACCCTGAGCTCAGCCTCTCCTGTGTCCTGATTGTCCTTCCCTCTCTTTCAGCTTGGCCACACTGAAGGTCAGAAGGGGAGCAGCCCTGAGCAGCCCATCTAGAACTTCTCAACATTGCTTCCTACAGTAGAATCTTCCTGTCCATAGAGATTTAGTGGTGGACTAATCGAGAGGTGGCCTCCAAGTGACACACCCAATCTGATGATCTTCATTGCACCCCATTATCCCATCATCTCTGGAGCCCCTAGGAATCAATTCACACCCACTGCCAACTCTTGACCTCCTCATCTCCTGCACACCCCACATACTTCCTGGGAGCTGGGACCCCACAGCAGTTTCCTGAGACCCTGAGGGTGCTGAGGGGTGTGTGCCTGGTTCTCTAGACCCACTGACCCTGCAGCTGTGCACAGGTGGGCTGCACTCCCCCTGGCCCTGCCCCCTCTGCAGCAGCCAGTGCTCCACCCTCCCTCCTGGGGACTTACAGTCAGGGCTTCTGCTTCCTGTGGACATAGATGGCAGAGACACTGATGGCCAGTAGGACCTTGAGGCCAAACAACAGGGCGATGAGGTGTGAAACTAGTGTAGACATCACTATTCCTGAAAATCAAGGGACAAAAGGGGCTCTTAGAGGGCCTCCTAGGTGTCTCTTCCCAGAAAACTGCACTTGCCCCAGGTGAGGCTGTGGGGGCCCAACAGAGTTGTGAAACTTGAGCACACACACGCTGTCCTGGCTGCCAGAGTCAAGAGATTCCTCATTCCCACTCGCCCAGTCTCAGGTCCCAGGGTGTGCTACCTGAGCAAAGGTGGAAATGTGTGCTCCGTGCACACTGCCCACCCAGCCATGCTGGTTCCCTCCATGAGCCTCACCATCCTGCGCAGGGGACTTATCATCTCCTCCTGTAAGGAAACTGATTCTTGGGGAGTTTACGGAGGGTCACTGTTTAGTGGAATCCAAACCAGAGAAGTCCCCCCTCCCCTTTAGCCTTATATGGTTATTCCTGAATTCAAGTTCCTTAGACCCAGAGAGTGATCCAGTGTCTCTGGGCCATGAAAACAATTTTCAGTGGACATGCACACGGGATGGGAGCCATTCCATGGTGAGAGAGGAGAGCAAGCCTGCCTGCTCAGAACTGTGGGTGAGCTCAGTGACGCTGTGTCTCAGGACAGCATTCTAAGAGGCCTGCTAAGGAGGTGCAGGCTGCAATAACGAAATCACTGGCTGGGAAACAGTCTGGTGAATCAAGGAAAAGGTTCTCGTACTTGGGAGGGGCCTCAGTCTCCAAATAGCAGACCCCCCTCCAGTGCTGTGTCACCTGAAGTCTTTCTGTTGGACACACAAAGCCAGATCCTAGCTGGCAAGCAGACCTGTGGAGTCTTTGCATTTTTACCATTAGTCTTTTTTGCTTTTAAGATGATGCTAACAAAGATAGAAAAATTTTATAAAGAAAGAAATGCTTCCTTGTCCTTAAGAAGGAGAGGACACTTTGCCCTGGTGCCCTGCAAAAACAGCCTGTGCTCCAGACTGAGTGCTGCTCTGGGACTCCCCCTCAGTGGAGGACAGCTGCACTCCTGCCCCCTCCTCCCTCTAGAAGGCACCAGCATCAGAGCCTGCCTGAGCAGGGAGTGGAAGGCCCCGCCTCTCCCCTGAAAGCAGCTCTGGGGTTCCTCTGGCTTCTGTGGGGGCAGCTGAGTTGCTGCTTCTTCTCTCACTCAGGTGGGAGGGACCCTGATGTTGATCCTGAGAACATTCCAGAAAGCTCCCTCATCCCCTATGCCCATCACAGAGGGCACTTCCGAGGAAACCCAGCTCAAAGTAGAGTCTGGGAATTGGATTCTATAATGTGAGTTTGAACCTGGGACTCATCAGCTGGCTGGTGACATGACCCCAGTGCTGGGGGTCAGTGGCACCTGGGCAGGCACTGGCCTGTGTTGAAGTGCCCTTGTTCACTCCTTTACCAGAAGTGAACCTGTTGTCTAACCTCAGGAAGGGAATTCTTGGCATCTGGTGCTTGACCATGAATTGGGAAATGGCTGTTATTAGGCTCTGGCTTTGGAGGGCTGGTTCTGCACATCAGTTCTTTGGGAAGGACAATGAGAAGCTAAGTGTGAGGTGTATTGGAAATTCCAATATGGAATGGAGGCTGGACAGAGGTCCATAGGGTAAGGAGGAGGGAGAGGCCCTGAGGCAGGAGAACAGAGCAGCAGATGGGTGGAGAGACAAGAGGCAGGACAGTAAGACAGGACGGTCCCCTCCCTCTCCTTCTTGTTTAACGTCTGTTGAAAGATCCATGGAGAGATGGACCCAGGTCTTCACAGTGGAGACTCTTGGGGTGATTTCAGGGGACTGTAATGTATATTTTTAAACTTTTGAATTATTTTATAATGATTAGGAATACTACCTTTAGCACGAGAGAGAGAGAGAGAGAGAGAGAGAGAGAGAGAGAGAGAGAGAGAGAGAGAGAGAGAGAGAGAAAGACCCAGCTGACTGGAGTGGAGACTCCACCAGGGAGATATCTT